ACACACACACACACACACACACACACACACACACACACACACACACACACACCACTAAAGAGACGTAAGACCTCCAGCATCGTGCACAGGGTTTATCCCTCCTTTTCAAGATCTCCTTGTTTTTGTTTTTTTCTCTTTCCTGCTTCGTTTGGTGTAAAAATGCAGAGAAAAAGGTGTCGGAGGAGGCTGAGTGTCTGCAGAGGTGTGTGTGTGCGTGCGTGCGTGCGTGCGTGTGTGTGTTTATTTCACCCTCATGTGGTAAATGAAGGTGAATTGTTTTCAAACAGCTCCACTAACTCATCTCAATAAAGCTGATTAACACTGTAAAAACCAGTTGCAGGTCATTGTTAGCCTGACCCACATTAGTCGTGGAAGCTAACACATTGTTTGTGGGAAACATGGCCGCTTTGATTATGTTTGCTCAGCTTGCGTCGTGCCTTCCTATGGATGCCTTTGAAAGGACTGGGACACGTCCACACCCCTGCAGCCGAGCAGCGRTGAAGTGGATGCTCCTTTTAGAGGTGTGCGTGAGCGCGCCGCAGCCCCCCGAACCACTGACAGCGACTGCCATTTGCACTGCCTTATAAGGCGTGTCTGTGTCCCCSGGGAGTGCTTTGACTTGCTTCTGCTCACACACACCCGCAAGGGTCTTTGTGGACGAATAATAGTCAGCACATGGCTTTTAAACTCATGCTGTAGAGTCAACAGTGATGTCTGTTTTCTCTACAGTAGAGACRTTAGCGAGCACTAGCTCCAGCTCTGGTCTGACTTTTTCTTCTCTGACGCAGGGGTGACCAAATCTTTTCCCCGAGAGGGCCAAAATGTAAATCGAATAATAATAATCAATAATATAATACATGAAATGCAAATACTTTTTAAGTAAATTCCTTTTATTTCATGCTCATATTTTTTTATTTATTTTTAGCCCATGCTCTTGAAAAAAGTTTGACATACAATAAACAAAACAAACGGTGTCATCCAAAAGGATTGATGTTTAATATTAGGTAATGTAGCCATACTGCCATATCAGTATTTTAATTTTAAGATGTTCTTTCATAAACCTGAGCAATAAAAACAATAATAATAAAAAACAGGCCCTCTTTTCACCAGTGTTGTTTTTGACTGCCATTTTAATTTTAGTCTTAGTCTTTTGAACAAAAATACTTMTTAGTTTTAGTCAGTTTTAGTCATTTCTATATTTAATGGTTTTAGTCGAGTTTTAATCGACGAAAGCTTAAAAATAGTTTAGTTTTAGTCTTAGACAACATATTAGTCTTTACAAATTAATTTGAGTAATTTGTGTTAACATTTGTGAATTTGTGTTACTCTAAAAATGCCCAAAACAAAATCATTCTGACTTTGTTTCTTTATTTCTCTGAATTTGTTTAAGTGCAACGAACATACAAAATACACATGCCCCGTCCAGTCGACTCAGTCGTTGTGTCCTTGAGCAAGACATCTTACCCGCCTTGCCTACTGATGGTGGTCAGAGGGTCCGGTGGCGCCTGTGTATGGCAGCCTCGCCTCTTGTCAGTGCGCCCCAGGGCAGCTGTGGCTACAATTGTAGTTTGCCATCATCAGTGCGTGAATGTCTGCAGTGTAAAGCGCTTTGAGTGCAAACGAGTGTTTACATGCACCAGGCTTTTATTCAGAACAGAAGCACTGACATGCGCAGTTGCTAACTCCGCCCGGCCAAAAAAAAAAAGAAAAAAACAGAGAAGAGTTTTTCTTTCGTCATGAACGTAAACAAAGCGCTCAGAATGGACCTGTGACAGCTTTTAATGGTGGAGACGTTACTCCCTGGTTAAGCTACAGATGACGGACGGACTTTTTTTTTTTGCGAAGCGGCGCAGGCTGTTTGTCTTCCTTCTTTACTGAATGAGAGGAGGAGCTGTGTGTGCGTGTGTGTGTAACAGCGCTACTGTTCCTCCCTCCGCTCTGCATTCTAAATGATTGACAGACCACCGACTAACATTTTCGTCCAGTCTCGTCTCGTCAACAAAAACTCACACACGTTTCGTCATGTCTTAGTCATCAAAGAGCTATGTTTATTTCGTTACCGTCTCGTTATCATAATGAAAAAAGGGGGCGCCAACGAAAATATTTCATCATCATCATCGTTAATGAAAACAGCACTGCTTTTGACCATTCACCTGGTCAGATCAAGACTTTTGCATTTATCTCTCTTTGGGCTCTGTGGCTGATGTCATGAGGTACTATCACTCCTAAAATGACCAGACTGTCCCTTTAAGTTGACTCYAATCCACTTTRGTCTTGGCTCTGCTTAGACAAGCCATTAGCCTGACCGTCTGGTCAGAATAAAATGTTGTTTCCAAACTGAAGTTATTTCAAGAGTTACCTACAACAGGTAAGATAGTAACTCTTCAAAACATGATATATACTTTAAATATGTAGGCCAACAAAAATCAGCCATGTAATGCAAGGCCAACACCTTTAAAGCTCACAGTGATCATGCTATGCATCATGTGTGGCAGTTGCATGTTGTTTGCCCAAATTTCTAATTTACTACATTCAGAATAAAAAAGGCATCATTCTCCYAATAAAATGATTGAAAACTGTGCTCTATAAACAAACAAAATAAATTTTATTTTCCTCTTCCCATTTGTGTCACTCTCTTAATACAACATCTAGGCCTCCTGCCATATTTCTTTTTTTTTAAATTTTTGTAATGAACTAATGTTAAAAATCTCAGAAAAAGAAGGAATTGGGTCAAGTAATGTCATCGTTTGGTTAAAGTTACAGAATTTCTCTGCACAGAGATCTGAACAGACACACATATGACTCCTTCACAAGCTTCTTAACAACCTGAAAGATTTAGGAGTCTTATGCAAATGAGCTTCAATCAGAGGAAAAGCTCAGTGAGGTTTTTTTTTTATGAAAATCCTAATTTTCTGGGTCTCCAGCTTTAATCTAAGCCGCTGGACCTGTCTCCTCTCTTCTTCTCTGTCTGTTTGTCCGTCCGTCAGTCAGACAGCTGTAAGCCAGACGAAGAATGCAAACAATGTGAACTACMTGACGTTATCCTGAAGATGCATGAATGTAAAACGACATCAGCAGATTGTTTCATAGGCAGTTTAATATCAGCCTTGTGTTCAAGAGCCAAACTCGGTGTAACATGGAGCTGCAGCAACAAACTGTTTGTCAAGTTCTACAAATCAGTTTACATGTGTGATAGTTTATGTTTATGCTGTAAGAAGTTTCGCTTTTTACATCCTGAATTGGAAACATGTGTTGTTAACCGCTTTTATTTATCATTTAACAACTATTTTAATGGTTGTTGAATGGTTTTAATCATTTATGGAGACATTAGAAGAAGCAGAAAACAATCATGGTTTTATGGTTTTTGCAATCCAAGTTGTAGACAGAACACACAAAGAACTTGAGGAATCAAACATACGAGATGTTTTAGTCAAAATAAATCACTGCCATGGCAGCCTAACCAATACTGGTACAGTACTTAATGCAGAACTGCCCTTCGGACACAAAGACACATTATATATATAGACACGTTGCTTACCTGATGCTGCTTATTGCAAACTTTTCTGTTGACTATCAATTTTTGAATGTCATTATTTTAGTCAGATTTAGGCCTACAAGTGCTGTTCTGATTATAAAAGTTCGTTGTGTTAGTTTTAAAATAAATACACAAAACGGTTGGACTCAGTGTGGCTTATTGGAGATACGTCACAGAACAAAACCAACTCAGTGACTTTATTTGTGGATCGAAGCTGCTACCGTCATCAAGGACTAGTCTGATTCGGTTTGATGCTTAAACACTAGAAACACTTGAGTAAGCAGCTCACTCACTTACACACACATGTCTAGTTCAGATGTTTTGGAGTCGACCTGCAGTTTGCAACAGGAAAAGGAAGTCTGACCGACCTGGAATGAGTTTAGAAAGGTCGGGAAAATGTCAAGCTTTGTGTAAGTGTTGATGGCTGATAAAACCACTCACGTCGCGTGAAGGACAATGGGCCTCATGCAAGAACATGTTCGTATTCTTATCCTAAATTTCTCTTACTTTTGTTCATACGAAGGGTTCGTACGAACATGTCACGTCAGATTCAACAAACTCTTCTATCTTCAAGAAAAGGGTGTAAATGAATTCCACCTGTTCGTATCCAGCTGCTCGTGCACGCGAGAGGAGATTAGCATAATTACCACCCCAAAAACACCATATAAGGCTATGTTTCCTGCCTCAGATACAAGGAAGTGTCCATTCATGAAAATGACAGTGAAAATTAAAAAGAAAAACTTTATGAGTTCAGAGATTGAAGTCCGTCTGTCAGAGATCCAGAAAATAAAATCTGTCATTTTTAGCAGGTCAGCTGTGGGATAAAAAGAGCTGCTAAAAATATAAACAATTGTGTTAAATCATTTTCATTTATTCAGAAGCGGCAGCGCTGCGCACCGTAGGCCCCCCCCGCCTCCCACGCGCGTGCTGCGCGGTCGCAGGTGGTCTCAGTTGCAGTTGTGAAATAAGCATTTTAAAATGTTTTCAAAATAAGTCTGGCACTTTGGAGAAAATCCACTACTTGGTAGAGGGATTATGTATCCTCTCTGGCCTGGGAACGTCTCGGTGTCCCCCAGGACGAGCTGGAAGGTGTCGCTGGGGAGAGCGGGGTCTCCTGCTGCCCCCCACGACCCGATCCCGGATAAGCGGCAGAAAACGGACGGACGGACAATTTATATTGTTAGTCTAAATTATTACATTTAAAATTATAACTCTAATTCAAGCAGAATAACTTATTGTCAACATAATTATGGAGTGTGGTTTATTTTCAACTCAAAATATCTTCAAACTAAGGAAATATAAGGTTATTAATGAAGAAAACCCGTCTGGATAACGAGTGACTGCTTGTAAAATATACGACAGGTCTGGACCACTCGTGAATTTTGTTCGTATCTGAAAAAAATCTTAGAATACGAAAACATTGGTGAATGCCACAAATTCTCCTAAATCACTCGTACGCACGATTTAAGAACAAATCTGTGCGTACGAACGGTTCTTGCATGAGGCCCAATGAGAGGATTTCTGCTTTGATTGATTTTTTTTGTGCCTAAATTGATCTTGTGTTTGTGTTTTTACAGAGTTCCCATCTGGCGCTCATCGACACCCTGATGATGGCGTACACCGTGGAGATGGTGAGCGTGGAGAGGGTGATGTCCTGCATCAACAGATACTCGTCCGCCGAACCCGCCCACAGCGACGGACTTATTCAGGGGCTGCCGTACGACACCGAGGACGCGATCACCACCTGGATCAACAAGGTACGTGCAGGGACCCAGTTTGGTGGGAAAACGAAACGGAGAAAAACCAGAAAGATCTGTGCTGCTGTCCCAAACCGGATGTTTTCTTCAGTTTTTTTCTTTTACAACTGCTCTGTTTTCATCAGGTTTAAGTAGAGCGTGTCAGCTCTCAGTTTATTCATTTGTTTGAGCAAGAAAACAGACACATACCATGTTGAGAGATAAGATACTCAGCTCAAACATCTCTGGTCTGCCAAAGCAAGTATAAATAAAAGGCCTATCATTATCTGAAGGAATGCATATCACCCACTACCTTTACTGCCAGGGGTTTAGACCAGGGTCGTCAAACTGCTTTTCACCAAGGTCTACTTTATTAAACATTGACATTTTCGTATTTAACTTTCACTAAACACGAAACGCCACGCTCTTCGTCCCATTGTTTCAACTAAGCGCCGCTAATAAACAATAACTGAGCTCTACGTGGTACTTTCCTGCAAAAAAACAGAGTTTTAACACATCCTCTTATAAACACTGAAAAGTACTGTATTAATAATACAGAAATACTGTTAAAGGTTAAAGTAAGAGAGTTTTTAGCACTGTTTAGTTGCGGCGAGTAGCTGCCATCTTGAATTCTTAACTCCCACTTACTGACAGGGAATTCCCAGGTTAAATTTACATTTTGGAAGTAGGAAATTCCCATGTTCCAGTATAACTGGGCTGCATCAAATGTAGCCAGCAAAAATGCAGCGTAAGATTTTACACAGCAAATTTTGCTGGCTGCAGGCTACTTTTGAAAAACTGTCAACATTAAATATTTGCCACATTGCAATTACTACAATTAGTGCCATGCGATGATGACATATTTTTGTGTACAACACACTATCGTGTGGACCAAGGCTACGTGCAAGTTCAGTTGTCATCTATTAATGATCACATTAATCGTTATCAACTAAATGCCACAATAAATCATGATCAATTTTATTGCCAATATTGCCTAACCGTAGTGGTGGGATGCCATAATTTCGTAGGTAAAATACAGTGATTTACATGCATTCTGGGAGATGTAGTTTATTGTCTATGCTGGCTTCAAACCATACGCCTTTTTAAAGACATTAGTACTTCTTTGAAGCTCTCGTGAGCCACGTAAAATGCTGTGGTGGGTCATATTTGGCCCACGGGCCTCGAGTTTGACATGTTTTAGACTAAGAACATTTAACGTTGAGAAAATTACGGATTTGAGGCCAATTTGGTCAAACCTTTAAAATAATGTTATGCTCAATTTCATGCTCAGTGTTGTGAATGACTGTCATCAGCTGCATCAGATTTTAGTCTATATTTAGTCTATATTGAAGATGAACAGAAGCTATTTTTAGGGACAGGGGTTTGGTTCAATTTGATGCCTCGAAACATACGAGCAGAGCTTGATTTGGTAATATAACTTTGTGCATCCTTGTTTTAACAGAAACAAAAATCCTAAATCATGAAAACAAGCAAGGCTGTGAAATAGTTTTTATTAGTTAATGCTTTGAAAGGAGGATACAATGCTTTTCTTTAGGGGTCATGTTTCTCTGCTCTGAATAATCCCTCTGTTGACTCTCAGTTTGCCCCAAATATTCGTGTGAAACCTGAGCTCGCTGCCTCCCTGTTTGTGTCTCATGCTTCTTCCTTTCTCTCAAGATAAACGAACACCTGAGGGACATTCTCATCGCGGAGCAGAAGTTACGAGAAACTTTCMTACAGGAGTCAGCCACCACAACACAAAAAGTAAGAATACACACATAGTATACTAATATAAACTCTGCCGTGTCACAACAAATGATGGTTAGGACTTGTTCTTTATTTAATTGGGCGTTACTAATACTGGGTTCTAAACTTTTAAAGCAACATCTGTGTCTCCATCCAGACTCACAAACAGCACAGTAAACTGAGCTGTTTAGCTCACAGGAACAGATGAGACCAGTCACCAGCTGCAGACAAAAACACTGGCAAGAGGAGAGGAGACAGAGAGTGGCACAGATCAGAGGAGGAGACGTGAGGAGGGGTTATCAGAGAGTGAGAGAAGAGAAAGAGAAACATGGCGGCTGTAGCAGAGGAGAAGCAGTGACAGACAGGCCTCCTGCAGGCCTCGACGTTATGTAAGACAGTCTGTCTCTGGGAGACAACTCAGTCAGCTTCTGTCCTCCTCTGCCTCGCTGAACCGTAACGCTTCAGCACAGAGCTTTATCACACATCAGATTCCTAAAGGCAGACAAGAAACTGAAGATTAAAGCATAACTGAGTTATGCCACGTGGGCATTTCTAAACCAGGGGCCTTTCTTTTTTACAATCTGAAGCTTTTTATTAACATTGTGAAAGAAAATAAGCTCACCGAGGGCCACGTGAGTATTGTGGTTGTCTGAACGGACTAGTTGTAATTAACTTCATTGTTTTATGTTTAACTACGACGCGCGTGCGCTAAGATGCAGTTTACTTGATATCTGAAAATACATTTCCTCAAAGGTATTTTGAATCTGAAAAGAGCTTCACTGAGTGAGCAGTAGTGTTAAGAGCAGCAGACAGTTTAAGTTTCACTTTCACTTTGCTCTGTTACTGCCAAGAGCCTGCAGGAGTCATGGACGGGGTGTGTGGGGTGCGGAGATGTGCTCCGTGATGAGGAAGTTCAGCTTAAAGACACGTCCCAGGGGCGTTTCTGGTCCCAAAAGGTGTTTCTGGTCCCCACCTGTCGTTTTGCTCCTCAGCATGGCTTCCTAAAAATGCTGCAGGATTTCTCAAACATGCATGAATGAGTCAAAGCAAGACTTTGGGCATGTTGTTTATGAGAGTATAACATTATAACATGATATAAAACTCAAAAAAGTTAATTTTACATGATATTGCCCCTTTAAAAGTAAAAGGTAAGCGTTTTACTCACTAAGTTGTGGTGAGTAGCTGCCATCTTGAATTCTGAACTCTCCCAGTCTCCGACAGAAAATTCCCAGTAGAGGGAGCGTTCTACTTTAAATTTACGACTTGTAATTTGGAAATTCTCACTTCCCAGTACAACAACACAACAAAAGTAGCCAGCAAAATGCACTGCATAAAACCTCCATTTCAGTGCCAGCTACTGGCTACGTTTGAACCCTGTGCACCTCCACCTGGTGGTGGGATGCCAGGATTTTGCAGGTAAAATAATGAACATGCATTCTGGGAGATGGAGGTTATGGTCAGTGACATTATTGCGTCTTTGAAGGTCTCGGGAGCCACATAAAATGCAGTGGCAGGCCACATTTGGCCCACGGAYCTTGAGTTTGACACTTGCACTTTAGTTATTATATGTCTCAAAGAAAAATATTTTTATTTATTTATTTTACACAGGTGTCAAATCCTGGTCCTCGAGGTTCCTGCATGTTTTCCTTGTTTCTCTGTTCCAACACACATGTCACTGACTGAATTACCTCTTCAGGTTCTGTAGAAGCCTGGCAATCACCCATTCATACAAATCAGGTGTGATGGAGCAGAGAAACCTCTGGAACCTGCAGGTTCGTGGCCCTCGAGGACCAGGATTGGACATCCCTGACCATCATGAGTTGCTCAGTAGTCTTCTTGTTTTCACTTTATATTACTCTCTTAAATCACTCCAACTTATCAAACCTCTGAAGTCAGTCAGTAAGGAGCATGTAGGCTCAGATATTTCACTCAATAATTACAAATGTTAACTTTATGAAGAGTTATGTCACTAAGATTGGAGTGCATGCCCTCACAATCTGTAAAATCAGAGCAAACCTGTAGCTACAGATTGAACTGTTTACATATAACCAGTTTAAAAAGGGGCTGCTCAGTGTTAGTCAGCTGCTTYGTGCTTCATCACACGACTCTTTCTGTGCACTTTGAGCCTCGGCAGAAAGCTACTCACCGATCAGGACACAGCTGGAGGAGAAAACACTCATACAGTGTAGTCCTCTGCAACAGATGAACACAACACATTTGTCAGTTGGTCTCGTCTATTCTGGGACGGTGTGAAAAAGACTTTAACTCTGGTCATATGACGAAGCATTCGCTTGTTTTTTTTGTTTTTTTTCATGGAGWCTGGGATTGTTTGTGCTCATCGCAGCACATCACGACAGGGTGGAAAACCTGGAAAAAATCGAATCAGATAAATCAGCAGCTCATGTTTGTGACCCAGCTAAAAATATGGGATTTTACTTTCGAGTTCATGAGTTTACTAAATATTTTACAGGGTATAAAATCATCAAACGTGTTCTTTTACAGCAACATTAGCATTATGCAGTTTTATCCATGAACAGTATGTTTGAAGCAAAGTTTTAGTGTTATGTTATTAGGTACAAATGCAGCTCTGTACAAATCATGTACACTTCCATTGTTGTTCACTTCACTGGATGTTTGTGACTTTTTGACAAGAAATCATTCATTGAGTGCCTGAAGCCAAACATAATGTGCACTCTGATGTTTCATGCTGTGCAGCATATTATGATTTTTACTTTTTTTTGTCAAATTATTATTATTGAGAAAGAAACATTTTTGATAATCAAGTTTTAAAGTTTTGAGAGAGAAATTCTTTTAGAAGTGGTACATCAGATTTTAGTTATAGAGCCTTGCAGGGAAAACATGTTTTAAAAAGGTTAGTTTTGGAAATGGATTTCAATTATTCATTATTTTTAGTCTCTTTTGTGTAGTTAATACTCTATATTTTAAAGTTTTAAGAACATTTCTCTCCCATGTTTTGAAGTGGCTCTATTTTCTCTGCTTTCGACCTAATTTCTGTCCCACTCTCTCCTCTTGTCCAATCATGATCCATCTTCCAGTCTTCTAGCAAATGGTACTGGAGATTAGTACCTGTAAGTCCATCCATTCAAAAACACCTCAACAAACCCACAATGAGCCTTGTGTTAGTTATCCTTTGACTGTGTTATCACTGCATGTGGCCCAGACCCCCCATCGTTGTCTGGTCAGACGTCCTCCACCCTCCCACCCACCCTCCCAAAGCTGTCTTCACATGAATACACTTTGACTTTCGAGAAAGAGAAGAGCTACAGTTGGACAGTACAGTTGGATGATGGCCTAAAAAAACAACACATCTATTAATAGATACCCATTTTCTGCTTTGATTTCCTCTATTATTTTCTGCAATGTGGAAAAAAAATGTTACAATTGGCTGCTGTGAAAAAKATTAAACTGTATTAAGAGTTATATAGTGGGGTCAGAGTGGAGCGAAGGAGAACCTGCTGGTTCTTACAGTCTGGGCTGGCTGTCAGACAGTAAGCGCTGCTGAGGATGAAGTATCTGCTGCAAAATGCAGACATCATAAAACTTGTGTTTATGGGCAAGCTGGGAGAGCTTCTTCCCCGAAGGGATCTGGAGTATTGTCTGTGTTTATTTTATTTTATTTACAGGTGCAGAGGAATCCTACATAGAAGCAGAATACACCGTGTTATTAGGAAACCCTGGATTGTTTGCTTTGGAATGTTGTGTTAAAGTGCAGAAGGCTCTGATTTGCAAATTTTATCATTCAAAATTTTATCACAGTAGAATATAGTAAACGTCAAATGTTTAAGTCTTTAAATGTTTGATGGCAGCAGCACATCTCAAATATACAAGGCCTTTCTTTAAAAAGTTGTCTGGATCAGGGGCGGAGCCAGGGGGTGGCCATGGCCACCACAGACAARTCTTTGGCCACCCCATTGGCCACCCTGCTGTACACACCCCTTCCACARTGAAACAACCTTTAGGGGTGTAATAATCCTCCTGAACAGTTGGTGGCAGTGTTTAACAGTTTGAAACATTACCAAGCTCTATCACTGAAGAAGAGTAATGAAAAGGAAGTGATGATTTTGGAAGTGATGATCTTCTTTATATACAGAACATATGTAATCTGACTTATGGTGGCAAATGGTTTCTTTTTTCTTTTTTTTTTTTTTGTCATTTTATGTTATGAAGACTGCATGATGCTCTGTTTTGGTTATGAGTAGACCTATCACTAATCATAAAAAGTGAAACACCCCTCTAAATTCACTGTTGGTGATTATCAATATTGCTCCTGTTCATTGGATAAAATTATTAATATTAGTTTTAAACATGCAGCTGAGGGTCATAATTACACAATGACATGTTACAATTAAAAATAAATAAAAAAACTAAATAAAAGTAAAAAAGCACCCCTAAAGTCATTGGATATGATAAATTGTGTCATATTAATTAACCGTATCTCAGCTGTAGCAGTGAGTTTAAAAACAGGATGATGGAACTAGTTTAATGAAGAATATGTCTCTGAAATAATTATTAAAACAAGTGTTCATTTATGTAGGTAAAGTATGTTTAACAACCTGGTAAAATACACCAGAATGCAGGAAATAACATCTATTTCATTCAAATTTTTCTGGGGGGGGACCCCAGACCCCTCAACAGTGTGTCCCCACTTTTAAAATGGTTCTGTTGCCCATGTTTTTAAGGTAGTCACTGCCTGTATAAGGACATAAGGAAATGACCAAAACACAAAGATCTGCAGAAACTTTCAAGTAAAAAATGATGTAATTTTCCTGGCCACCCCTGTGTGAGTAGTGGTCCCAGTCTGGCCACCCTGAGAAAAATTTCTGGCTCCACCACTGGTCAGGATGGAATCAGGTTGTACAGTGAGGCAGCAGAAAGTTGTGTCACTGTGTTTACAGATATGGGTTTACTGGAGTGTTTTGTGTTTAATGCCCTGCCACCTGAAGGGCTCCACTATTTTGGCCTTGTTCTTCATGCAGCAAAGAKATTACCAGAATCTTTTATTGTGAATAAAATAAGGAGTTATGAGATTTGCAAATGATTGCATTCTGTTTTTACTCCAGCTTTTTAAGTATTTGGATCCAGCCTGCATTTTTTCCTTCTCAGAGTTAGAACTACTTTTCACGACCAAACAAGGAGTGAAATTGCTCCTATGATTCTACTTTCTTTAAATGAAAAAGAGATATTTTGTGGAGGGAGTGTGTTTCTGTTCAGTGTGCTGCCCGTGACTAACTGTCTGCATGCGTTTGTTTCCAGCTGTGTGCTTGAAACTCCTCAGATTAACACCTGGACTTGTGTTGAGGCGTGCATGCAGAGGAAAGCCTGTCGTCGATAAACTGTACATGTCCACCCCGATGAATCATGACGGTGATGTCTTTGTGCCGTTGCCTTGGTTTCAGGCCCGGTACAGGAGGGAGCAGGCTCAGAGGAGTGCTCCGCCGCTCCCCCTGGTGGAGAACCTGCTGAAGGACAACACAGACGGCTGCGCCCTCACCGCCCTGCTGCACTTTTACTGCCCACAGGCCGTCCGGCTGGAAGGTGAGCTGCAGCTCACATCTGCTCTTTGTGTTCGAATTATTCTATAAGAGGAAACAAAGCAAGAGGCAATTCATTAATACGTGTAGGAAAGTGGGAGTTTTTATTTTCATTTAGAAAGCACAGTGGCATCTGGGGAGACAAAATGTATTTATGGTTTATTTTTCTTGTTTGTGGTTTTCTGCATTCGACCACATTGAGTCTGTTTCCAAAATATCTCCTGGACCACTGGATGGATTGTAATGAAACTTCCTCAAATTAATCATTGAATGTAGCTTTACAAACTGATTAACCTTTAGAATCAATCCAAATCAAGATTGCTGCCACAGCCAACTTACCTGAAACAAAAAAACTTGGTTAAACTTGAAGATGTCGGGTTAAAATTAGGTCTGGTAGTAGTTGAGACTGATCTCCAACACTTATTCTGAGCACTAATAGATTGCACAAGAGCCTTAGCCATCAACTGCTTAGAGTTGATTCTGTTCGTTTGTTAGCAAAATCTTTCACAAACCACTGGATAGATTTTAATGAAACTTTCAGGAAGTAACCACTGGATGTACGTCTACAAGTGATTAACTTTTGGAGCCCACCCAATTCAAGATGGCCGTCTCAGCCAGCAGACCTTACAAAAAAAAAGGAATAGCTATAATTAAACAAATTTTACTTATGTGCTAAAATTTGATGTGGTTGTAGCTGAAAGTCAGTCACAGCAGAGTTATTTCCGTAATTAGTTTTTACCTTAATCTTTTTTTCCTGTTAGCAAAATACACCTTAAACAAGTGGATGGACTTTAAAGTGACTTCAAGGACATAATCAATAAATRAATTTACAAATGATTAGCTTTTGAATTCAACCCAATTCAAGATGGCCACCACATTTACTTTTAAAGTAATGTATTGACTAATGAAGTCAGTGAGGACAGATAAGAAGAGTTTGAAAGTGATGTTTGGCTGGATTCTAAAAAAATAAAATGCTCCAGGCTGACATGACATTCAGTCACAAGATGTAGATCACAGAGAACCGTTGCAAGTACAGTTAGCTAATAGCGCTTTCAAAGATAAACAACTCTTGTGTTGATTTCCTGAGGCTCCTCGGGTTGCTTTTAACTCACATGGAGCTCACATGCAGAAACCAGATGCAAGAGCAAGCTGGTCCTCGTTAAGTTTCCTCGCCTGTGGCTGGATTCATCCCTAAAAATAACTTCAAAAAAAAAAAAAAACTACAGTAAAGTTCAAGCTGACATCACACCAGAAAAACTAGCTGCTGTAAAGCTCTGCTGGCAGTTTCTGCTCTGTTCCCTCATGTCCAACATCCTGATGACTCATCTGGAAGGACTTTTGTAAACTGGAGTCAAGAATAAACTCGAAGAGGTTCAACGGATTCAGATTTGCCACTGCAAATTGGAAAGTAGGGTTATTTAGTCTTATCTGTTCTTGTCTTCCTGTTACCCTCCCTTGTGTGTGTTTGCCCCCCCCCCTCCTCCCCTCTCGAGCAGACATTTGCCTGAAGGAGACCATGTCTCTGGCTGACAGTCTGTACAACCTGCAGTTGGTGCAGGAGTTCTGCAGGAACAACCTGAATCACTGCTGCCACTTCAGCCTGGAGGACCTGCTGTATGCACACGCTTCAGTAAAGGTAGGGACGCCCCTTCTCTTACGTTTGGGGGGGGGGAGGAGGGGTTGAGCGGGGCAGTTAGTAGATTTAGAGCAGGGAAATCACACAAAGGCAAAAGTGAGTCATGCGAGGAAAAGTTTAATAATCATTGTGTTGGCGTTGGCGCTCCCACTCTCTGCTCAAACAGAGGACAGATTCACCGAGCTGACCCGTCTCTGCCTGTCGCTGTCTGAGTTCTCCCTCAGTTTCTCTCCTGTTTTCTAAAGAAAACCAAGTCTTAAAGCAGAGATCTCCTCAGTTGTTACACTTGCTTCTGATTAACAAAAGACAACTGGACAGATTATCTCTCTGTGCCACCCTGAGATTAGAGGCAGCAAAGTAAAGCCGGCGTTGGCTAAACAGTATGCAGGGAGCGTGGGCAGAAACATTCAAGATTCAAGTCACAGTCCGAGCTGACTGAAACTTTCTTTCCTCTTTTTGGGCACAAAGCCCAGCGGAGTCCTCAAACTGGCCCCTCGTTTGCTTCAGATGTTTCTTTCTTTTCTTTTCTGTCTTGTTATTTTGCTTGTTTGATGAAACAGCAGGGAGTTCTCACTGGTTAAAGAATCCTAACTAGTCCTTGTGCACAGAAGTCTTTTCATTTTGTTTTCTATCTCGTGCTGCTATGAGTAGTTTAGAGTAGACATGAATAGAATTTTATTCCACTAATGTCATTATTTTTTCAGCCGTCCGTTAAATAGAATTTAAGAAAAACTCCAGATGGTGCTTTGTCTGTTATAGTTTGACATGAAACATGTCAGACATATTTTTTTCTTCAAGAACACGGACACACCCATCTGAGGCTGAGCGTTCATCCATCTGATGTATTGTAGCATCTGTAAGGGAGGAGAGGCTGTAGAGAAATTAATGAAAAAACAAACACTCCACGTGTGACTTGACCATAAATGTTTATGTGTGTGATCGTGCAGAGTAACTACCTGGTGTTTATGGCTGAACTCTTCTGGTGGTTCGAAGTGGTCAAGCCTTCATTTGTACAACCCCGAGTCTTCAACCCAAACGGTATGGTATGACCTGCATGCTGTTAATTGTACTCATTTTTGTTTGCTGTATTTTAAAGGTCAGTTGTCAATTCCAAAGTTTTAGATATTAAAAGGTCGTTCCTGTTTTCTCCTCCAGTGTGTGAGCCGGTATCATCCTGCACAGATATGGCTCCTGAGTCCAGTCCAGTCAAACAGAACTATGCAGACAGACCTTCCAGCCCAGAAAACTTTGCTGCTGAAGGTATGATCGACCATTTTACAGCAAAATAGTTCAACATTAAAGTGCCTGTGGCGTGCGTATTCAACAAATACAAAAAGCCAAAGAAAACATCTTTATGTTTAAGAAATCGGCATAAWACACGTGATTTTACCCACTTTGTTGCATAAATGGCAGATTTTCTTTTGAATTTGAATTTGCTCAGCCAAATGAAACAGGAAGTGACATCAAAGGGGAACTCTTCAAGAAAAAAACCCTCCCTGTTCTTTGTTTATTGAAACAATCTTATTTGAACTCTGACTCTTCATCTCTCTTTCATAGTGACTCAAAAAGAAATCTAAAATGTCATCAGATTCTTCCCTACAGTCTGGGTTGTCGGCTGTCGTAGCGCTGCTCTGTTTGTGTTCCCCTTTGACATCACTTCCTGCTACTTCACCTGCAAATATCTCAACAACTGTTCATTTCAGCAGCATGAAATTTATTTTGCATTATGTTATTCATGTTTTCTTTCCAAAAAATGCATTCATATTTACTACAAAAAATGTTGTCAGAGGCACTTTAACTGTAAATTGTTTCATTTTAKCCTCTGTCTCTTTAAGACCCTAGTCCTGCAAGAAGAAATCAAGTTAGATGATCAGATTGGTTAAAAAATAAATGTGTTTGTGTGTGTGTATATATAGCAGAGAGTAAGAAAGACATGTTTTTTTATGTTTGAAGTGTGCCTGGCTCTTTTCCTGGTCTGAGGAAAATAAACCACAGTATTTGACAGAGAACACTTATTGAAAGTGTGGATTTTCGTTGTTTATTCTGGACCCCACCTAGTGGTTGATTTGCTGCACTACACTGGATCTTAGTTTTTGTTTAAGACAATTTAATATTCAGCTTCTAATATTCCTGAAATAATTTTCAAAGTAATGTTGAGATTAATGTTTAACAGTGAAGAATAAAGCAAAAACTCAGAGTTTGCCAGGATAGACCATAGAAAGTAGATTTAACACAGTTTTTATTCTTTTCTTTTCCATCAAGCCCAAAGATGCATTTGCTGTTTATTAATGAAAGATTTAACATGTTCAAATATCTTCTGTTTGTCCAACAGGTGTAATGAAGAGGTCTACCTCCATGTCCTACGTTGATGACTGCATCAGGACGTGGCCCAAAGAAAAAACGTCAGGATCCAACTTTTTACTGGTCCGCATTTCTTTATCAGCCTGTTGAGTTCCAACTGAATGAAACTCCTTCGATCTTTCTTCTTTTAGCTCTTCCTCCAGGGGAATTTCCTTCGAGATTTCTTTAGATGGAGACCAGCCCTTCAAGGCTCCRTCGCCCCGTGGTATGACCCGCTCGGCCAGTAGTGATGGTCTGGGGTTCAGAGTTCACTATGCGTCTCGCGGAGGCATGAAGCGGCACCATTCGCTCACACCCGTCGATGCGAACGGCCCGARCAAACAAATACTGGAGGAGGAGGAGGAGTTTGTCTCTCACAAACCTGTAGGGCGGAACAACACGTTCTCTGTCAAGAACCAAAGCAGGTACAGATGAGGGATCCATACAAGAACCTTGAGTATAAAACCTTGCAGAAGACATGAACATGTTTATGTGTAGCTGTTTTGATCAAGGTTGTTTCCCATCAATCATTTGGGGTCTTTTAGTTGATTTTGTGACCCTAGAAAAGCTGGAACCAAAGTAATGATGGTAATGGGGTAAATATTCTGTCATTGTTGTGATTTTTAGTTTACCTGCTTATTTTTAGGTACTCCAATGGAATCTTACCAAACAGCAACAGCCCCAGGAAGTGCCAAGGTAACTACACGGGTCTTGTCAGTCCATCGACTCCTCCGAGCATCGAGGAGGCCCTCAAGATTATTCACGACACAGAGAGGCCCCACGCCAGCCTGGGCATCGGAGATGGAGATGGTGGCTTCTTCCTGCATGACGCAGAGCCGTCAGACCCCCCGGGGGCCCGAGCTCAAGATGACGACCCGAGTTCCTCGAAGGCGCGACTCAATGACCGCGATCCCAACTCCGCATCCACCGATGAGGTCGACACGGGCATCCACGTGCGGACCGAGGACATCCAGAGTTTGGACGACGACACCTCGTCTCTGAAAGACTATTCGGACATAGACCCGGACTGTGACGCCACGACCCGGTCCTGTCCTCTGCCAGGCAGGCCGGAGAAGAGCAGAAGCAGCGAAGGAGGACAGAAAGAGGCCGATAACCCTAACCCCGAGGGTGAACGGAGGGACGGAGGCGATCGGGGCAGCCCCTGTCCCAGTTCAGCTCCCACACTGCCCAGATCATACACGGCGAGTCCCGCCTCTTCGTCGGGCGGGTCCGGCGGAGGCCTGGTGCGGATGACCAGCTTCGCGGAACAGAAATTCCGAAAGTTAGAGGGGCGGAGCAGCGGAGGGACCACGCCGGACAGTTCTGATCTGAATGTACCGTACACACACTCAACGAAAGCTGCTTCTTCTCAGGTTTTAATCACTTGTTTCTCCTCAAAAATATTTCTAAATGTGGCAAGAATAAAAATCGGAGTCATATGTTGGCTTTAAATAATTTCACTGATTGTTTTTTTTAGTACTCTACCCCTCCACTGCCGATCACTTCGCCCTCTCCAATCACCTCATCACCCAGAGACCCCTCCCACCTCATAGCCTCAGAAATGATTCAGCTGCGGATGAAGCTGGAAGAGAAGCGTCGAGCAATCGAAGCTCAGAAGAAGAAGGTAGACGACTCACGGCTCTGCAGAAATGCTGTCATACAATTTCATGAACAAGTGATAATAATCTGCTGATCTCTTTACGAACAGGTGGAGGCTGCGTTCACAAGGCATCGTCAGAAAATGGGCCGAACAGCCTTTCTGAACGTTGTGAAAAGGAAAGGTGTGACCGCCCCGCTCAGTCCAGGAGCAGCAGAAACGCCTTCGCCCGAGCCGCCGTCCTTCTCCAAGGAGAGCAGCCAGCACAGCATGGAGCGCGCCGAGCGCTGCAAGCCTGACGGGGCAGCCCCCAAGTCCCCCTTAGAAGATGGCGGCGGTGGGTGGCCTCAGCGCAGCTGCTCTGAGAATGATTGTGGATTCAGTGCTTGACCGGTTTCTGTCCACGGTCATCAGGTGTGGCGCCGGGGGAGACGGACCTGGCGGAGTACACGCGCTCCATCGAAAGGCTGAACACGTCGCTGTCCTTCCTGCAGACGGAGATGCAGCGTTTGGCTCAGCAGCAGGAGAAGATCATGACCATGAGGGAGCAGCACCAACAAGCCTGGGTCATCCCACCTCCCGCACCCTCTCCACACAGGTAGCTCTAGATTATTACTGAACACCGTCAAAGCCAAAAAACTTTTATGTTTGTATATATTTGTTTGTAATTAGCGAAATATCTCAGAAACTTTCAGAAAGCAATCATGTACATCTACAACCAATTACCATTTTGGGTGAACATGATTCAAGATGGCTTCCACGGCCGGCTAGCCATGGGAAATATAAACAGTTAATAAT